AACCCGTCTCTACTAAAAATACAAAAATTAGCGGGGCGCCGGAGTGGCGGGCACCTGTAGTGCCAGTACTCAGGAGGGTGAGCAGGAGGAATGGCTCAACCTGGGAAGGCAGGAGCTATGCAGTGAGACCGAGATCGCGGCATTCACTGCTGAGCGTCTGGGCCAGAGAGCGAGACTCGTCTCCGAAAAAAAAAAAAGAAGAGCAATAATAATAAGAAGTAAAATAAATTATCGCACAGAAAAGCTGAATAGCGCTGAGTTGTATGTTTGTGGATGTTTATTTGGAGATCGTGCGTGGAGAAGAAACACTGGTGTGTGATATAATAAGTTTGAGAGTACTTTCCATATTCGATGAGATATGTCAGAAATCGTCTTTAAGACTCTTGTTTTCTTTGCGGCGAGTGCGCGCGGTAAATGCCATTTTGCTCAGCTATAATTAATGAAAATACTGTGGTGTTCCATTGTTTCTTATGTGGAAGATTTCATCCTTGGAAATCGTTACCAGATTGTGATTCATTTTAGGTGATCTTTCTGCAGAGAATAATTTTTTTTTCTGTGCGCAGTGGGGAGCCTTTGGTTGTTGGAGTTGCAAAGTCCAATTCTGAAATAGAAAGTGCGAAAGGACTGCGCTTGGGAGAAAATTTGTGGAAATTAAGTCGTTTAAAGCTATGGGGGCTGGGCGTGGTGGCTGCATGCTGTATCCTGCACCTTTGGGAGTGCGTCTAGGACAGGCGGAGATTACGCGTGAGGTTAGGAGTTCAAGGACAGCCCTGGCCCAACGTGGTGTGCAGAAACAAAAACACGCGTGTCTTGTACTAAGAAATTACAGAAACAAATATAGCCAGCGGTACAGTGGCGATGTGCGCTGTAATCCCAGTACATTGGGAGCTGATGCGCAGTGAGAGAGTGGACTGTGTGAACCAGGGAGGGCAAAAGGGTTGCTTGAGCTGAGATCCCGCACTGCACTCAGCCCAAGCTACAGAGCAAGACTTTTGTCTCAAGAAAAAAAAAAAAAAAGAAGAAAAAAAAAAGCCCTAAAAGAACAGAAATAGCTCAATCAAATGTGGCAGATGAGAACTCCAGAGCTCATTTCGCTACCACAAGTAACTAACTAATGAGTTCAGAAGAAGCTAGATGCAGAATAAGTGGTGCTGGGCTGTCCGGTGTATGTGTGGGCTCATGCCTTTAATCCAGCACTGTTGGAGTCAGATAACAGAGCGGATCACTTGTGAGGCCAGGATTCGAGAGACAGCGCGTGGCCCAAGCCATGTGAAGGAGCCGGTGCTCCACTAAAGGAATGACAAGACAAACGTTGGAAGCGGTGTGCGTGATGTGCACCTGTTTCCGCAGCTATCAGGTGACTGAGTCACTGAGAATCACTTGACAGGAGGCAGAGGTTGCGAGTGACCCAAGTCCGGTCACGTGAGATCCAGCGGGGTGACAGAGTGGACTCTGTGTCAAAAAAAAAAAGATTAGTATATGGAGTGTATATATATTTCACCGTGGTCTCGATCTCCTGACCTTGTGATCCGCCCGCCTCGGCCTCCCAAAGTGCTGGGATTACAGGCATGAGCCACCACGCCCAGCTCTACTTTATTATTATTTTTGAGACAAGGTCTTACTCTGTTGCTCAGGCTGGTGTGCAGTGGTGCAGTCTTGGCTCACTGCAACCTCTGTTTTCTGGGCTCAAATGATCCTCCAGCCTCAGCCTCCTGAATAGCTGAGACTACAGGCGTGAGCCACCATGCCTGGCTGATGGCTGATTTTATTTGTTTATTTATGTATTTATTTATTTTGTAGAGATGGGGTTTCACCATTTTGTCCAGGCTGGTCTCAAATTCCTGAGCTCAAAGCAATCCACTTGCTTTGGCCTCCAAAGTGCTGGGATTACAGGCATGAGCCACTGTGCCCAGCCCATAATTTAGTCGAAATATTTCTCAGATGTATTGTGGCTCATGCCTGTAATCCCAGCACTTTGGGAGGCCAAAGCGGGCAGATCACTTGAGGCCAGGATTTGGAGACCAGCCTGGCCAACATGGCAAAAATCTGTTTTTACTAAAAATACAAACATTAGCTGGGCATAGTGGCACATGCCTGTAATCCCAGCTACTTGGGAGTTTGAGACATGAGAATCCCTTGAACCGGGAGGCAGAGGTTGCTGTGAGTCGAGATCATGCCACTGCACTTCAGTCTGGGCAACAGAGTGAGAATCTTTTTCAAAAAAAAGAAAAAGTAATAAAAAATTAAAAATATATATATCAGACAGATTGTCTAAGAAGCTCTGTGAACACAGAGAATATAGGCAGTCTGGTGGCCTCATTGTCCTGTTATTCAACTTAACTCAAAAATGGGGCTGGAACTCTGTACATATAACGGATATGTTAAAATGTTTAAATATATTTCCAATGCATAAATGTTGTGACTGAGGAGAAATTCTGTTACCATACTGAATGTGAGAAATTCTTTGTTCATCTTTTATATCTGAACAGGAGAGAAGCAATACTGTGGAGAAACTCTATGACTCTAACCATTGTGGAAAAGTCTTGAGTGAACACCCATTTCTTATGACTCACATGAGAACTCACATTGGCGAGAAAACTTCTGAGGATAATCAGAGTGGAAAAAACTTAAGAAAGAACTTTCCTTATAGTTTTTACAAGAAAAGTCATGCTAAGGGGAAAACGCCTAAGTATGTTAAACATGAAAAAGCCTTCAACAAGTTTTCAAATCTTACTAGGCAGAACAAAACTCACACACAAGAGAAGTTGTGTGAATGCACAGATTGTTGGAGAACTTTTCTTTATCAGTCATCCCTTAAGGTACATGGAAGATCTCACAATGGAGACAAACATTATATATGTAAGGAATGTGGGAAAGCCTTCAGTAATTCCTCACACCTTATAGGACATGGAAGAATTCACAGTGGAGAGAAGCTCTATGTCTGTAAAGAATGTGGTAAAGCTTTCATTCAATCCACAGGACTTAAATTACACATCAGAACTCACACTGGAGAAAAACCATATAAATGTAAAGAGTGTGGGAAAGCCTTCACCCATTCTTCATACCTTACTGATCATACAAGGATTCACAGTGGAAAGAAGCCCTATGTATGTATGGAATGTGGAAAAGCCTTCACTAGATCCACAGGACTTATTTTACACATACGAATTCACACTGGAGAAAAGCCATATGAATGTAAAGAGTGTGGAAAAGTTTTTATTCATTCCTCATACCTTACAAAACATGTAAGGATTCACAGTGGAGAGAAGCCATATTTATGTAAGGAATGTGGGAAAGCTTTTACTCGTTCCTCAGGACTTGTTTTACATATGAGAACACACACTGGAGAAAAGCCCTATGAATGTAAAGAATGTGGGAAAGCCTTTAATAATTCCTCAATGCTTAGTCAACATGTAAGGATTCACACTGGAGAGAAGCCATATGAATGCAAAGAATGTGGGAAAGCTTTCGTTCAATCCTCAGGCCTTAGTACCCATTTAAAAACTCACACTGGAGAAAAGGGCTATGAATGTAAGGAATGCGGTAAAGCATTTGCTCGTTCCACAAATCTTAATATGCACATGCGAACGCACACAGGAGAAAAGCCTTATGCATGTAAAGAATGTGGGAAAGCCTTTAGGTATTCCACATGCCTTAACGTTCATATGCGAACTCACACTGGAGCAAAACCATATGATTGTAAGAAATGTGGGAAAAACTTCACTCAATCTTCAGCACTTGCTAAACATCTAAGAACTAAGGCATGTGAAAAAACCTGAAGTGTTCCTCAGATCTTAGTATTTACATCTAAATTCATCTGGAAACAAAACATATGAAGGTAAAGAATATGAAGAACCTTCACTGAATTTCCATTTCTTATGTAATAGGAATGAATTTAACATGGACACAAGTCCCAGTGATATAAGGAATAGGCGAGAGTAGTAGTTCTTCACACCTTATCAAGTGTAAGAACTCACCTTTGGGAGAAAAATCTGGTTCTAAGACGTGGTAAAGCCTGTTTCTTCCACGGTATTTCTTTTTCCGGCTGGCGCGCTTCGTTTTGTTTGTTTTTGCTGTTGTCGGTTGTTTTTTTTGAGGCGAGAGTCTCTGCGGTGCTTGTCCCCAGTGAGAGTGCGCAGTGGTGCGACCTTGGCCGCACTGGCAATCCTCTGCCTGCTCTGGGTTCAGGAATTCTCGAGCTGCCTCACGCCTCCCGAGTAGCTGGGACTACTGGCGTGTGCCAGCCATGCTGGTTAGATTTTTTGTGTATTTTTAGTAGAGACGGGGTTTCACCCATGTTTACGCAGAATGGTCGTCGATTCGTCCCTGACCTCATGCTCTACCCTGCCTTGGCCTCCCAAAGTGTCGCTGCGATTATAGGCATGAGCCATCACACCCAAGCCATATTGTTTATTTTTCATACCCAAAAATTACCAACTAAACAGGCAATTGAAGGTAAGTAAATGCAGGAGATAGCCTTAAAACTACTTCACAGAGCCCTCATAGCACTTCATATCGACACTGGAGAAAAAACCGCTTCCTGTATGTAAGGGAATGTGAATAAAACCATTTACTCGGACTTAGTATTTCCACAAACGAGAAGTTCCAACAGGTGGTAATAAACGCGCTACAGATGTGAGGTGTAGATCTTCCACTCTGGATCCTCTTAGATAACTCAACACGTTAAAGGGAAACTCACACAGATGGTCGAAGATAGCTATTATTAGTATATAAGAATTGGGCAGGGCCTCAGAAATTTCTGCGGTGTCATGCTGTAAGAAACTCATCAATTTAAGGGCATGTTAAGGAGTGGCTTCCAGGGCACCTGTAGTCCCAGCTACGGTCGGCGAGCGTGAGGGCGAGGAGAATGGCGGTAAAGAACCGCGGGAGAGGTGGGGCTTGCAGTGAGCTGGAGATCCGGCCACTGCACTTCCAGCCTGGGCGGGGACAGAGTTGAGACTCCGTCTGCAGAAACAAAAAAAAAAAGAATAAAAAAAAGTCTTTCAGTTGTTGAGCGTCAAGTGTCGAGGCTCAACTTGCATTAGAGAGAAACCCTATGAAGGTAAGATGTGGGAAATCTTTACTTCTGCCTCATGCGTCAATATATGGTAATCTCAAAGAGGTCAGAAACATTATGAATGCTAGAAATTTGGGAATGCCTTCATATATATATATATACACACACACACACACACACACACACACGCACAGACATACATACACATATGTATTATTTCATCCTTTAATATAAATGATAATTCATACTGGAGAGAAATCTTGATAATACAGAATAAGGGAAATGTTGCATCCATTTTACAAGTCTTACTATACATGTGAAAACCCACTCTGCGAAGAAGCTATATAAATGTGAAAATATGGGAATATGCTGGGTGTGGGTGGCTCGTGCCTGTAATCCCAGCACTTTAGGAGGTCGAGGTGGGCAGATCACTTGAGGTCAGGAGTTTGAGACCAGCCTGCCAACATGGTTAAACCTGGTCTCTACTAAAAATACAAAAATTAGCCAAGCATGGTGGCAGGTGCCTGTAATGCCAGCTGCTTGGGAGGCTGAGGCAGGAGAATTGAGTGAACCCAGGAGACGGAAGTTGCAGTTAGCCGAGATACCTCCACTGCACTGCAGCCTGGGTGACAAAGCAAAACTCCATCTCAAAAAAAAAAAAAAAAGTAATATTTTTAGCAGTACATACCCCGTAAGTGCCTCTAAAAATACTCACTGGAAGAATAAACTATGAATCTGAGGAGTTATGGGAAGCTTTCCGGTATTACCGTTACTGTACACAAGATAATTCATACTAGAGGAGAAATTGAAATAAATGACATGAAAATGAGATTCCCTTTCTATATGTCTTACTGTCCATGGTGACTTGGTGACAGTAAATTTTCTGTGGTTGAAAAGTTTAATTGTTTTTAAAATTCCCCCTAAGTAGAATTTTTTCTATATCGTAGTAAGAAGAGCATGTGGGAGGAGTGAGGACTGGAACAATGGACTGTGCAGTGGATGTTAGGATGTTATATTTAATCCGCATGGTGACCAGGCCATGCCTCTAATTGCAGCACTTTGGGAGGCTAAGGTGGGTGGATCACAAGGTCAAGAGATCGAGACCAGCCTGGCCAACATGGTGAAACCCCATTTCCACCAAAAATACAAAACTCAGCTGGGTGTGGTGATGCGTGCCTGTAGTCCCAGCTACTCGAGATGCTGAGGCAGGAGGATCGCTTGAACTCGGGAGGTGGAGGTTGCAGTGAGCCAAGATCACACCATTGGACTCCAGGCTGGGCAACAGAGTGATACTCCATCTCAAAAAAAGAAAAAAAAAAAATCGCCACGGTAACTACAGAGAAAATACCAATGGAATATATACAAAATGAGAAGAAAAAAAGATGTCACTACAAAAAACAAAGTAACAAGAAAGGCAGTAATGTAGGAAATCAGGGACCAAAAAGCTGTAAGACATACAGAAAAAGAGTAACAAAGTAGCAAAATAAGTCTTTTTTATTGTGTGGTGGTCCAATTTATCTTTCTTGGATGAGTTACCTTCTATCAAAATACTGTCATCACTGTCTCGTTCTAGTCAGTTTTTGACTTCAAGTGTTACGCTGTTTGATTTAGTACACCCAGCCAAATTCTCTTTAGGTTACTATTTACAATCGGGATTATCTTGTTTGTTCATTATTTAAACTTTTTTGTCTTGTAGACTGAGTGAAGGAGGCCTGACTGTGGCGGCTCACGCCTGTAACCAAGCGATTTTGGGGCCGAGGTGGACGGGATCAACTGAGGTCAGGAGTTTGAGACCAGGCCTGGTCAACAATGGTACAAACCCTGTCTCCTACTAATACTACAAAAATTAGCTGGGCATAGGGGTGGGGTGCCTGTAATCTCAACGTACTTCAGGAGGCTGAGGGCAGGAGAGGAATTGCTGGAAACCCAGGAGGGTGTGGAGGTTCGCAGTGAGCCAGGGATCTTGCCATTGCACTCCACCTGGGGGCGAAGAGCGAGACTTCGATCTTAAAAAAAAAAAAGGCGGGCGGTGTGGCTCATGCCTGTACTCCGAGCACTTGTGGGAGGCCGAGCGCGGAGCGAGATCTCGGATGGCTCCGGAGATCAGACCATCGCTGGCTAACATGGTGAAACCCGCGTCTCTTACTAAAAACACACAAAAAGCCGGGTGTGGTGGTGGGCGCTGTGGTCCCAGCTACTGTCGCAGACTGTGAGGCAGGAGAATGGCGTGAACCCGGGTTGGAGGGCGAGCTTGCAGGTGAGCCGAATCATACACCACTGCACTCCAGCACTGGGCGACAGAGCGAGACTTCATCTAACAGTACAGTTGGATTGGTGGTATTTTTAACCTTTTGCCAAAGTGAGTGCCATTAGATTGGAGACGTTATCCCACTTTCAGGTCCTTTCATATAATTAAACAATAAAAGGCCGGCGCGGTGGCTCAAGCCTGTAATCCCAGCACTTGGGAGCGAGATGGGCGGATCACAAGGACGTGTGCAGGAGATCGAGACGCACCCGCTGGCTACACACAGTGGAAGACCCGTTTCTATCTGCAAACCATACAAAAGAAACTAGAGTCCGAGGCGATAAAAAATGGAGGATGGTGACGGTGCGCCATGGGTGTAGTCCAAACACTCTGGATGGGCTGAGGCAGTAGTTAGAATGCGTAACGCTGGGAAGGCAGGTGAGCTTGCAGTGAGCCTGATGATGCGGGCCGTGCCCTCTGCTACTCCAGCCCCGGGGCTTAACAGAGTGAGACTCTACGTCTCCCAAAAAAAAAAACAAGAAAAAAAACAGAAAGAAAAACACCACCACGCAATAAAAAAGATTATTTTGCTACCTCTTTGTTACTCGTTTTTCTGTCATCGTTTTACAGCTTTGTTTGGTCCGCCTGATTTCCAAGAGGTTTCCTGCCCTTCATGTGGTTACTGATATGGTATTTTTTGTGGTGACATGCTTTTTTTCTTCTCATGTGTTTTAGAATATATATTCATTGGTATTTTCTTCTGTAGTTACCGTGATGCGATTTTTTTTGTGTCTTTCTTTTTTTGAGATGGAGGTATCTCTGATGGTTGCCCAGGCGTGGTAGTCCCAATGGTGTGATCTTGGGCTCACTGGCAACCTCCAAGTCCTCCGAGATTCAAGCGATCCTCCTGCCGGCAGGATCTCGAGTAAGCTGGTTGAAGAACTACCAGGACCAACGTCGATCTACCACACCCAAGATCCTGAGTCTTTGATATTTGTGTGGTGGGAAAATATTGGGGGGGTTTCACTCAGATGCTGGTTCCTGAGCTTTGTTTGGATCTTTCAGTGCGTTCGTTTGAGCCTTGTGATCCGCTCTGAGAGAGTATCGAACCCTTAGTCGCTCCCATAGTGCTGCGATAGGGTATCGTTGTCGCAACATCTGCCTAGTCACCATCGCGGTGTCTACAATTAATCAACATCCATCTTATAAACATCGCACTGCACAGTCTCCCTTGTTCCGAATCCTCACTCATCATCGCTGTCCGAGCGA